ACAATGCAACAGTGACAATTATTAATCGATGATGACCAGATAATCAATATCAATATAACGAAAAAAATTTTAGATTATAAGTTCGAATAATTGCTAAACACTTAGGTGTTAGCAGATCATCAATAAGTCGAGTTCTTAAAGATATGGTTATGTTGAAAGACTTCTGCCACTTGTAAGAAAACCAGTTTACTAAACCTAAATGATATATATAAAACATCTTAAGACTTTAATTGGATAGAAGCCTAACTGATATTTTTATGAGTTACAATCTGAGATAGAACTTTGATAACAGAGATTATTAAGTTTAAGATGAGTACACATAAAAGCTTAACATGAATTTGTTCAAATGTATAATACGTATATGCAAATTGAATTGTGTAAGTTAAGTACATTATTAATCATTACGTATAAATATATCGCATCATTATCATTATTAATATATAAAGAAAAAAAACCATAAATTATATTTTGCTACAACTGTGTCTAATACTAAAAATATCGATATTCAATTAACCGCAAAATTTTTGTGTAATGGTGTTAAACTTTCTGAGCGTATATAGCTTTAGACTATCTCTGTAAATAATAAATGTTATATTGATCATGCCGAAATCAATAGCTTATCGAATCGGCTAAATAATCATTTGGTTAATTTTTCATAAAGTCAATTCTAACGATTTATGACTGCTGTCCTGGCAGGCTACAAAACTTATGTATCGTTCTAACGCAGATAGGGTGGGAGGGATCGATATAACCAGAACGAAAGTCGGGTTGGCAGAAAGACAAAGTTAATTTCCATTATTTTCCAAATATACTATGATCCAATTATCCCAGTCAACTAATCGATTGAACATGTGATCGTAATCGAGTCTGTCATATATTCGATCAGATGGCATATGATTTGAGACAAAAGCTGTCTCGATACTTACGTATCGAGCAGCTATTAGTCTGTGGTATTCTATTAACAATCCTAGTGATCCCATGGCCCCTGAATATACTCATTAGAACCTCTGCGGTGATAATAGAAAGATATCATATATATTAATTAGTACAAAAACCTGAATCTGTACAAGATTACACTTATGTTCAATAGTACCAAAAATTTAATCCATACAATAGGGTTCGATTAATGTGATATCTCCGCATTCAGGGGTCTTGTGATCCTTCTCTATGAGTTATCAACAATCACGCTATTTATAAACAAAGAGTATTACATATTAGCAAAGAAAATAATAATGAAGGCTTATACAAAGGAAAATTTTTAACAAAATTTTCACAATAGATAGTCCGTATAGCCTCCAAAGTTTGTAATGTTTTTTTTTTAAATCCAGATTAACAGGATTGAACATTTAGATAAATTAGTAAGAGAAAAAGGGTGTTTATTTATAATACAATTATAATGTGTTAAATTTTGTTATGTTTTCTGTGTATTAATAACAGATTGTTAGAGGTTACATATTCAACCGTTTTGACCTGAGTTGTAAATTTTTGATTCGGTTGAACTGTTTTGACACAAGTGAACCAGTTTACTATAACCTGGTTCTAAACTCTACTTTCTTTATCATATTAAACATTCAAGTTTAACTACTATCAATTTCTTCCATTCCTGATTTTGCATGATAATATTGCGCAGCTATCTAGTTGCATAATCCTAGAGATTTTTCATACCTCGAATTTGTCACATCGACGTTTGAGTCAATGTTACAAATTCAAAGTAACTCTTTTCTTGTAATTGGTAGATTACATGAAATTGAATATGCTTTACAATTGGTTATATACACAAACATGTGACGAATAGCCAATAAAATCATATGTGTAAAATTAATTTTATTACTATAATAAAAAAGCTAAAAGGATCAAATATATTTTTTTAAACATAAATTTATAAAGATTGTTGTAATCTCTAAAATTTTCAATATTTTTATTTTTTTACAACTATATTTTTAATCATTAAAATATTTTTTACACTATGTTTTAAAATATTATTATATACAGTAGCTTAATAAAATGTTATATCTATTTTTAAAAAAGAAATTTGTTTTGTTAGTTTTTTCTTTATTAAATTAAATATGTTCTACTATTTAATAAATATATATAGTTAGGTTTAGGCTACAGAAAATTTTGTTTGAGTTTTTATTCTTGACATTCTTCAGATATAAAAGTCATATGTAATTTCTTTCTTGTAAATTTGTTTGTAAAGAGATTCAATTGAGTCTTAATAAAGTTAGAGGCATGGTCTCACCTTAAGATTTAAAAAAAATAAAATAAATATATATAGTTTTATAGTTATAATATATATAAAAATTTTATCTTCTAAATAAAATATCTCTAGATTGTAAATTTTCAAATACTACTGTATATATAATATCAGCTCTAAAGCCAGTTTTGAGCCAGCTTGATAGCTTAGCTTGGTTTTTTTAAACCAAGTAAGCCATTCCTATCTCTAAAGATAACTGCTATTACTGAGAGCTCTGAGATAACTGCTATTATTAAGAGCTCTAAAATAACCATTATTACTAAAAATCTTAAAATAACAACCACTGAAAGAAACATAAAAGAAGCAAGTCAGAATTATAAGTTTTTAAAAAAGGCTACTTTACATATTATGATCTTCAAAAGTGTAATAATCTATGTTTTTTTTAATTTTATGAACTAGTTAATATCTGTATTATATAATTTGTTAGCAAATTATACAAAATGCATATATTGTAAGAGTATTTTAAAGTATGATAACGATACAAGTACCAGCTCTCTAATTTGTCATTTAAAAAAACACAAAATGTAAAAAATATTTAAATAATGAATCACAACAAACATTGCAATTATTTGTATCAGGTCTTAACGCCTATAAATTTTTCTAAGAAAGAAGTTATCTATATATAACTAAAATGATTATTAGACATGCTTATTTATTTCGCATAGTAGAACATGAAAGATTTTTAAAGTTTATTAGTAATTTACAATTCAAGTATAAAGTAGTAAGTAAAAAAATGATGCATGTTGATTATATGAATATTGTTAAAAAACTTAAAGTGAAGGCCTGTACAATAATAAAAGAGGCACCCAAACACTTAAATTATATAACTAACTTGTGAACATCTAACTAAATTCTTGGATATATGATTGTGACATATTATTTTATAAATAAAAGTTAAAGGCTTCAAAAATTAGTTTTATCATTCAAATTAGTTCCCACTTTGCATATATAAGTTGTAATAAGTGAAACTCTTAAAATATTTTAATAATTGGAATGTTGTATCAAAAACTTTAATGATTACTATAAACAATACAACCAACAATAATACCACAATTACTAATTTAAAGCATTAACTTGAAGAACAGAATGTGTTTGTTGCTGAAGAAAGTTTACTACACCAATGTTGCTGTGCTCATATATTAAACCTTATTGTCAATGATGGTCTCAAGATGGTTAAACATATTGTTAGCAAAATAAGAGAATATACAAAATAGATCCACAGTTTGCAATTCCAGCTACAAAATTTTGAGAATGCAATTATTGGATGCTATTTTGAGCTTGTAGCAAGTCAGAGACCAGCTCTTGATGTCCCTACTCGTTAGAATTTACAGTAGTTACCTGATGCTAGAATCTACTATTTTGTATAAATAAGTATTAGAGTGTCTTGTATTGCAAAATATTAACTTCGAGCCAATTATGCCTTCTGAAGAAGATTGAAACAAGGCTAAGAGTATTTGTGGTTTTTTGAAACTATTTTATGAAGGTGATAGTAAATTTCTATTGTATTTGTACAAATTAATACCCACAGAGCGTTATTTCATACAAATTCAATAATAGATTTTATTAAAAATATATATTAACTAGTTATTTGAATACAGTTATAAATGTTATATTAAGAAGCAAATATTCAATAGCAAATATTCAATAGCAAATATTTTTTTTCACTATTTTGTAAAAATTAAGTAAAATACTACTAATGTAGATCTCTTTATTTGTCAAATAATCATACCAATAGAATCTAAGTTTAATAAATACTGGATAGATACATGTAATGCATACTGCATTGCATCATTAATAGACTCTTATTATAAAATTATAAAATGTCATTACTAAACTATATTTTTAAGTATAAGATGTACTTGTCATCTATTGAGGCCAAAAACAAACTGGATTTGATTAAAAAAAGGTAGTTAATTCAGATAATTTTTTAAATATAAATTCTATTTACTAATTTAATAACAATTTTATTTATACAGAGCTATGCTGATTTATAGATCAATATATATTCAAGATCTGGGTGCTTCTAATTGTTATTATAAATATTCTAATTTTAATTCACAAAATGATGAATTAATACAAAACTTTAACCAATATCTTGCAGCAAATCAAATTAGTATAATTAATAAAATGGATAAGTTTGAATAGTATTTTGCCGACCCACTTCTCTTTCGTTCTTCTACAAAATCATTTGACATTTTAGATTAATAGAAGAAAAATAAACAAAGATATCCTTTTGCAGCAACTATGACAAGAGATATCCTTGTTATCCCAGTAACTTCTGTAGCTTCTGAATCAATAAGTAAATTCTTTTTAAATATTAATTGTCAGGGATGATGCTGAAATCAGATGATACTAAAATTTGAGATCTCAATTTGAAAATATAAACCCTACTAAAAATCTACTTATACTTTTTGATTAATAACTCTAATTTTAAATTCTAACTTAATTATTAAAAAAAAAGCTAAAAAAAAATCCAAAAATTTTTGAAAATTGTATATAAAATAGATCTAAATTTTAGCATTATCCTGATATTAATTAATTAAAATTAACATAAATATTACTTTATTCAGATTTTTAGTATAATAGAAAGAATTGTCAATGATTATCAGTTAAACCTTAATCCTAAAACTATTGAGACATTGATTTGTAGTTAAGATTAGCTGAAAGATGCAGAAGAACAAGGCTAGATATGCTAAAAAGTTATATATATTTAAAATTTAGAGTTTTTTTATTTAAAGCAACTAAGCTAATCTTTTACTTCTAACTTTTCAAATATTTGATAAAGAACTCGAAAACTATAATTTAATAAAAAGTGTAGTGATACTTTGCAATGGCTTTGAAACAGTTTAAGATGACTACTGTTATTATTATTATGATAATTAATATTAATATGATTTTAGATTCAAGTATTGAATAGATTATATTTATTAAATCGAGATAGAAATGCTAAAAATTTAAGCAAAAATAAAGTTTTTTTTTGATTTAATTGACTTTTAAAAAAATTTTTTGTGTCTTAAAGGTTTTTTAATATACAAGCTTGAAACTTTCACATATTAAATGTTTAGATTATTATAATTATTATTTTTTTTTTTTAATTTTTGAAATTGATATATATTCAGCTTATAATACAATATTAAAGAACAGGTTTTAAAATTAACTAGGTAAGTATTGAAAATATTGTTTTAATTGATTATAAATACTAATTATTTTATATTTCAAAATAAAAAAAAAGAGGCAGTAATTTTATCATCTTTTACTAATATTTGATTAAATTCGATAGTCAAATTCACTAACATATAACAATATATTTTCAATTTAAAAAATAATTTAGATGTTAAATTAAAGAATGATTAGACTCTAAGCAATTGTAGATCCAATCTTGTGGATTCAATCTTGTAGTATCTTGATGTTTTAACCTTAGTAAGTATAATTTTATTATAACTACTACTAAAATTTTGATAAATATAAATTCTTATAGATTCATAATTATATTATACCAGATTTTATAGAACTGCTAAGTCAACATATTTTATATAATATCGAATGAATTTCTTTGTTGATAAAATATATAGATTAGTGTATAATAGGGTTGTAACCCAAGCCTTGTTTTTTTAATTATAGCATTACTTAGTTGAGATTGAAAATCAATATATAATATCAAGAAAAAGTATATCGAAGAGTTTTTTAACGGCAAGTGGAGTGGTATATTTGATTAGATAATTCATCTTTATTAGATATTTATATTTATATATTGAAGTATTCAATATATACATAAGTTTAATAAAAAAAATTGTAATTGAATGTTGTATGATCTAAATATATAATGTTATAATATTTATTATAATAATGTGTTAATAAATTTTTCATATAGTTATCGATTTAAAGATAAAAACTATTTATTATCATGCTTTTAAATTTGTATATAGGCAAATCATACCTGTGGTTCTACCTTTTATCAATTTTTCTATTATATATCATATAAACACTCAATATATTTTTAAAATTTGATTATATTTTTCACGTTTGTTGAACTATATAAATTTGTTTTTACCTAATTCAAGATCTATAAAAAAAAAGTTTTGTTACATATAAATTTAATATGAGTTTAATATTAATGGACTAGTTTAGACTGGATCTAATTTGTATCAAACCTGGCCCAGCCCATACTCTGAATTTTTTTTTTTATTAGGCCAGGCTTGGGCTCAAAAATATTTTTTAAGGTTAGATTTTTTTGTAGTAGATTAGTCATAGCGAAAAAATTCTGAGATCATGTGATTGACAATCCTTCCGGATTACCTTCCGATCTCATGATAATCATTACATAATTGGCTAAACTGCTATTTATAAAAGTTAAATTTTATCGTTTTTTCAAACTTTTACCTACTAGCCATCTAATTACCATATCCGTAATTTTTTCTTACTTTTACAAAAATTACTCTTCTAGATTAATGAACTAGTTTCATTAATATTGGCTGCTACTTAATTTATGTGCTTATCCGGTGATTTAACTCAATGAAGAACGTAAGTTTCAAGTTTATTTAACATTAAAACAGTTAGAATTTCAAACCTAACTTACATATATTCCGTATCGAATTTATATATATATTTTTAGCATATACTGGGTGGGTGAAAAGTCTCTAAACAGGACCTTTTATTGCCATCTCCGCTAAGATTTATACACACATAATTTAAATACAATTTATTATACAACGATTACTAATTATAAATGCTAAAATGATAATCTCTGATTAAAAAAAGAGCCTGTTTAGAGACTTTTCACCCACCCGGTATATTACAAGAAGAAAAATAAAGCTAAAGTTTTGGTAAAAACTATATGTAATAAATAAGCGAAAGCTTTATCCGCAAAAGAGCTAGAAGTTCAGATAAAGTCGGAATCATGAATATTAAGGTTTTTTCATAAAATCTTTAATTAAATTTTTTATCTTTGTAATAATTTCTTTATTAAATAATAATAATATGTTAATTACATTTTTTTTTTTAAACAAATTCGAATAGTGGATAATGAATAAAAAAAACTTGAAGCAAATAAAAAGACAAATGTGAGAAAATTAATACATGATATAAAATTTTTTTGATTAATTTATTAATTCAATCTACATTATTATTATTATTTTATTGTAACCAAAAGGCTAATTTTTTGCTTTTTCGTAATCCTCAGGTTCACTGTTGCCTTCTTGCATTGAGAACTTCGTTACAAGCAGCAGTCTCGTCAATGAGAGGCTGTATAAGAGTCTTATAGATTTCATAAAGCCTGTCATTTTCAATATTATCATTCATAATTTCTATTAATGCTTCAAACATTTTAAGATTTGAACTTAATTCTTTTTTTCTATTTTCAATAACTTCATAGTGTTCAAGAAAAGACCTTGTGCTATTACTCGATGTCCTCAAAGCAGGCGTAGGTTCTAAGTTATTATTCTGTAAAATATTATCTCAAGAATTATTATTTAAATTAATTCTTGAGAAATTTACTTTACTGAAAGTAATGAACGGGTAATTTTGATGACACATTGTAGTACAAAATTGTGGAAAAAATGTAGGATTGTCAGCAGTATATTTTTTTATTAAATGTTTGCATATCATGTAAGGACTATATAAGAATGCTGTATACGAGCACACCCAGTTATTTATATCAGTATGATGAAAGTCTATTAAATTTATTTCTTTTTCTATTGCAGATTTCTAATCATGCTTGAATGTGTCCCACCATGATGGGAATTCATGATTATACAATATTTTCTCCAAGTGTATTGCATATCTGGAACTAACTCTTTAGCAAGAATATATGTTAAACAGTCTAGGCGTGGTCTGTTTACATTATATTTGTAATTATATTTAAGAACATGCCAATGTGATTCAGTAATCATTGTAGTTCTGGCAATAGGCATTGCTGTTGGACAAGCTGCTCGTGCAAATAGATTCCAATCTTTAATATTATACCAGTTTACTCACAAATATCCCCACAAATCGACAAGATTTTTTTGATGACAAAATTGGTAGACTTCTAAAATGCTTTGGTATCTAATTTCTTTTGAGGTGAGAAAGACATTTTTACATATAGGAATAAGTGGATGCAATAATGCATGTCTTTTAATTAATCCTATTAATTCTTTTATTGATTCTTTAGAACATATTTTGCTTTGTAGTTCTTCAGGAAGCCAAGTTGGACTAATGAATCCAAATTCAAGACTTGCCTCGTGTGCTTTTTGTGCTGAATACTGACTTTTTCGAGATTTATTTTCTTTTAGCTTGCGTTCAATTGCACGTTCTATATGCCAAAGGCAAAGCTGAATTTTTGCTTGAGACCAAGTCTGCAAAACAGCTATAATCTCACCAAAATCTTTGTCTAGAAGCATGAATATTGGTAGAACTCCTTCATTTCACAAGCCGGTGAAAAATTCGTTAAGCACATCAACCCTTGTGCACACAATATTATCGGGATCTAAAAGTCATTCTTCTGATGCCGTAAATATATCTAAATATAAATAAGCAAGGGGAAGACCATATCCACCACAATTGGCATTTACTACAAAAAGCTCAAACTTTTCTTGGTTTGTTTTGAAGGTTGAATCAATAATAAACTCATTAATATTGCCTTTCAGTTTTTGAAGAAATGGAGTAGCAAATCCGAGTGAACGTACAAAATCATTTTCTTGGTATTGTATGATTTTATACCCTGCATCTACTAATTCTCTTTGTTCTAAAAAATTCATAGACGACTTTACTTGGTTGGCTACATTAGTAACATACAACTTTGTAGAAAATTTATGCACCCAGTAATATATTTGTTGGTATGTAAATACTTTTGGATCAATTAAATTTTCATCACAAAGCTGTTTGTAAAGTTTGACTTTTCTCAAACTTTGATTAATATGTCGTTGTATCCACTCTACAGCATTTTCAGGCAATCTTATTTCTCTATACGTAGAGTATTGGTAAGCTAGCAAATGTCTTACAGATATTGTAGCCAGTTTTTCACATATATTTATTTTAATTGTGATACTACTACCATATTCAAAGCATATTATGGCAGGTTGTGCCTCGCTTATCCATTTTTTAGGTTGGTCATTTTGATTTTTATATTGACGATCTATTCTTTGAGTGCAGCCTAGATAAGCTGTTACACACCCCGTGTATTGCCCATTTTTTTTATTCATATATAATTTTCTAATTTCCCAATAATATTTCGATCCCTCTTGAATAGGTATAAGCAACGTATTGACAATATTATGAATTTTTTAATTTCATCATTATCTAATTCTAGAGATAATGTTTTATCATTTTCTACTGCTTCATTATTTAACTCCGGCAATATGTTTTCATTTATTAATTCATTTTCAATTTTTACTAATGCAGAGAATTCGACCTTATCGTCCTCTTCATTATTTCTAAAATAGTTATTTACGAGCTCTTCAAGATCACTTGCTTCGTAAAGAAGATCATCATTGCTTTCACTATTATCAGCATCGGGGAGTGTATTAGCATTTAGGGGTATATCAGCATCCAGAAGTGTATCGACATCCAGAGGCATATCCAGAGACATATCATTATTTAAAGATTGTGATGATTGCGATGGCGTATTTTTATTTTCTTTTAATTTTGCTTTTTTATTCTTATAATTTTGTATTTCAATATCTAAACACTTATTACATATAGAAAATGCTTTTATATTATTTCTATGCTGTCTTGTAAAATCAGCAATTGGCTTAGTTTTGTCACAATGAGAACAATGCCTATCAACCTCGATGTTGATAATTTCGACAGTAACTTCGTTTGGAGCAGACATTTCTATTCGTTTTTGTTAATGATTCTTTAAATAATTGATTTTGATGAGGTTTATTAGCAGCTAATGAATTTTGATTTTTTTTTTTTTTTTAGTAACTCTTAATTTAAAGTGAAGAGTGAAACTTGATGACAAGTGAACAAGGGTATCGGTTAATCAATCACGAATGTTAAGTTTAAATGCCAATGATTAAATCAAAAGGTAAGATTATTTGAAATATTGCACTGATTTGGTCTTTATTGACAGCAAAAAAACTATCGTTTATATACTTTTTAAAGACGAATAAAATACTTCCAAAATTCTAGTTTTGGAACTACAGTTATTTTTGTCCACAAATGATTGATTAATTGATGATTATTCGGCCAAGCTGTTAAGTCAGCCGAAGAACTATGAGAAATAGAAAACATGCATAAATGCGCATAGATGCATATCTATGCGCATAATTGGCTAGACTCAAACTCATAATTTAGATTCTTTTCTTTTGGTTATATACCTGCATGAAAATGCAAAATTTTGTTTGATACTTGAAATTTTTTAGAAAATTATGTTTGTGTGCATTAGCTATCTCGGCCGATAATAAAAATAAGATGTAATTTCATGGAATGCAGCAAATAAAATCATTTTTTTGACATAAAAGTACTGCTTTATTTTTCTGATTATAATTCAATATAATAAAAATACTATTGAAAAAATCCTATTTATTTTCGAATGCATCATCATTTATTTGTTAGCTTTGAAACTCCCATTACCGTTACTATAAAGATAAAATTCATCGAAATTGGTCGGAGGATGATGTGATATCTTCGATCAAAGTTAAATAAAATTTTGTCGCAGCTAATATTTTGATAAACGTTTAAGTTTTTTCAAATCTTTGATCGAAAGTATCTCAGCACCCACCTAACCAATTTCGATGATTTTTTTTATTTGAATTTTACAGAACTGTAGAAGCTAAATAAAAAAAAAAATTCATTCAAATTGGTTGGGTTGTGCTGAGATACCTTTGATAAAAGTTACATAAACGTTTGCCGCAGCTAATATTTTTTGGTAGAGTTTAAATTTTAAATCTTTGGTCGAGGTATCTCAGCACCCACCTGATCAATTTCGATGAATTTTCTTTATTTTAATTCTACAGAACTGTAGAAGTTAAATAAAAAAAAATCTATTAAAATTGGTTGGGTGAGTGTTGAGATACCTTCAATCAAAGTTATGTAAACGTTTGCCGCAGCTAATATTTATGATAGACGTTTTAATTTTTTTAAATATTTAATTAAAGGTATCTCAGCATCCACCTGACCAATTTCGATAAAATTTTTTTATTTGAATTCTACAGAACTGTAGAATTCGAATAAAAAAAAATTCATCAAAAATAGTTGGGTGGTTACTGAGTTACTTTCGATCAAAGTTATGCTGCAGTTAAGATTTTAATAAACGGTTACAATTATTTTAAATCTTTGATCGAAGGTATCTCAGCACCCACCCAACCAATTTCAATGAATTTTTTTTTATTTGAATTCTAGAGACCTATAGAATTCAAATAAAAAAAAAATAATCAAATTTGGTTTGGTAGCTATCGAGCTACCTTTGACT